TTCCTTTAATTAACACTCCCGTGCCTCGTTTTCAGTAGTCCCTGCTTCGGCGCAGTGACGCTCCCATAAGCATTAATTGGAGTAGCGATGTCTTCTGGCTCAAGAACGCAAGATGTGGCTTTACTTGAAGACATTTATAGATCGTAAAAAATATTTGCCTTACGTTAGAATTCTGACTTGCACTGTTCATTTTATTGTTTTTAAAACTATGTTTAAGGTAAACCCCATTTTGAAATAGGTTCGTGTTGTGGTTTCAATTTCGACTCTCCTCTGGGGCTTGAGTTTGTTTGTTTTTCATTGACGCTGCTTCTTGTCACAAACCCCAAAATGTTAGGGTTCCGGTCAGGAGATTAAACTTCACGCAAATACAAAACGGCTGAGAAATTTAAGAAAGCAATTCGAAGTATTGATAAAGTGGATTGAAATTAGTGATAATGCTCTAACAAGGAGACATGAAGAAATTTTTCACGTCCACACTGTTCGTTTCAATTGTAACTATTTTAGGGTGCCGGCGTATTTTGTATTTGAAAATCATTGTAACAATTTTGTATGAAAATGGTCAGAGTTATATTTTAAATTGAGCTATAAATTATCTCTGAACCACTTGAAGTAGATTTGCTTGTCATTATTCAAGATTGTCAGATGGGCAAAACTTGTAGCATGTAATGGTGATATAATAAATGTATGCATAATTTTAGTTAAGAATCTCAAAAGATGATATATAGCCACTTGAGAGACAGAGATCTTCTAGAATTGGTGTTGTAGTGAATTGTACTTGTTCAAAATGTGGCTCGGTGGCAGGCCTTTGTTAGCACTGGAATGAACCCCAGTACATCAGAAGAGCTAATAATTCTGCAACCACCTTTATAACCATAAACTTTTGAAGATCGAGATCGTTTTGAAAGCAACGCTGTGATTTCAGTGACGCGGATTCAAGTCAAATCATTTATCAGCTGCTCAGTTGGCAGCACAAAAGAATGAAACCCGTCTTAATGTGGGAACAAGCGAATTAATAAAATCTTTTTCATGTGTTAACTAGTAACAAACTTTTGACTGCCGTCACGAATCGTATATGGCGTGTTTCAAGATTTTTGTTTTATGATCCCGCAAATATTTTAAATTTGAGCGCTGGCAATTGTTCTGACATGAAGCATGCGAGTATCTCGGCCTGTCTATTCTTTTTATGTCTGCCTTTCTCCTTCGTGTTATATGTTTATACTTCATTTTCTTGTTTCCTTCCGTTTGGTCTGCATTCTCTCTGTGTATGTATGCATTTATATATGTAATTATGTACGTATGCGTGTCTTTATTTACTTCTCGCCCGTATTTCTGTATCTTTCTTTCTTCTCCCTTCCTTTGTTTGTGTATTTATTCCCGTCTCTCTCTGTCGTTTTCGCTTTACGTTCCCATTTTCTTTTCTTCCTGCTACACGTCTACGTGTTGCTCTACGACCGATGGATAACACGTGGTCGATCCGAATGATGTAATCATTGAAGTAAAATATTGAAACTAATGCAATGAATTTCCGCCATTAATTAACAAAAGGCCACAAGCTATTCAATTTGCGGTTTAATATAATTGAATGCCACGATCATTTGAAACAAAAACGTGTGCAGTGAAACGGAAACAGTTCTTGGTCAACATTGCGGAAAATTGGTTCATGTTTAAGTCATGTTCGTGTCCCGTGGACTGGCCGCCCCTCACAGTATGTTCGCGAAGAACTGGGACAGTTTCATTGTGTGCTGCGATCGGAGAGAGAGTAAACGACGCCAGATAAGAACCCTACAATACATCCAACCCGTGAGACCGACCACGGCTGTTGTTGAGAATACTAGAAACAGTGGTTAAAAAGACGGTGCATGTCTCCTGTTCAAATTATAAGGAAAGGCTGCAAATAATGTTTATTGATATTATTATTATTATTAATATTAATATATTACAAGGAACTGAATTATTATTATTGTTATTCCATCTATTCACCACTTTATAGGGTATTTACTTCTATGTACCCGAGACAAACCTTGCCACTGATGTACATAGTCCAACAGCTATTACTAAAATAAATTTTGGTTTTAATATTTTACATGTATTATATAATTTTATTGTGAGGGATGACTATATATAATATTTTACAGCGGCGTCTTTCGAATGATGTATGATGATCCTAGAATGGCGGTTTTCTGAAGTTACCTGATGTCGGGTTTGCCCGGGATGTTGGCCAAATATTTTTTGCTTGACTTGGAGACAATTCCAGTTTCTTCTATTATCATGGAATTACATTTGCTTATTATTATTGAAGCCCATTCCGAGATTTATAATTTCAGTTGGCGGAGATTAACATTGCGGGATCTATGGGAGATAGGAGTTGAAGGAGACTGGATTTTGTTGGCCCAGTACAGGGTCCGGTGGAGGGCTTTGGTTAATTCGGTGATGAACCTTCGGGTTCGGTAAGCCATCTAGTTAGTTAGTTAGTTAGCTTATAAAGAGTTAGTTGCTTTACAATAAATATTGGTTAGATTAAATTTATAATCAGGAAATTAGTTTACGATGTTAAAATAAATTACAACCATTTAAGTTTGTGTAAAATGTGTTAAGGGATAAAGCAAAGTATACCGCTGAGGGGAGATTATCGCAATTTGTCGGAATTAACTTGCTTTATGATCACGTTCCCGTCTGTTCTCAAAAGAAACAGCTACGCAACCTACCCATACGCAGTTAACTCTTTAAGGTATTATAAAATTTAGCAATTCGTTTTCGTGATTGCTTTGCAGATTACGTTGCTGAACTGTGTACGAAGCAGTGCATTATATTCCGTTACACAGAGGATTATTTAGAAACTTTCTAATAATACGAAATGACCCGCAAACATTTGGTGTTCCGTGCATTTGCTTACCCTTCTCAGTTCTATTATTATACTTCTACTTTATCATCATGATTGTTCTTGGCCTGTTTCGACTACAAGGATTAAGACTCCATCTTGTTGTGCAGCTCTCTTGCTATCAGCTAGTGCAATTTTGTAATTCGGTTTGAAACATTATTTTCAAACGGTCTAGCCATTTCCTTTGATAGTCGTCTATAGGCCTATATTGATATATGTCGTTACCAGTTTTCCTTTAATACGTTCATTAGGCTTGTGATCCGCCATTCTGTATTGTGCGACCGCACTCAGGACAAATAGTTCTGCAGTCTCTATTCCTTACAGCTGTTCTTTCGTTAACGTTGAACATTTGGATTTATAAGCACTTTTTCAAATATATTTCTCTTGCTACATGTGTTCTCCAATAATTTACGTAAGTGCGTCGTCTATAGGTCGATTAGAAGGGAAATCTTCATTTTTTTCGGATAACCAAATTCCATTAAAGCGTAAGAGAACAGTGTGGCATGCACTTTGTACGATGGTTGTACAGAGCCGTAAAATAATGCTGCTAGTTGTGCTCACTAACCAATAAGATACAAGCAGTTGGTAATCACGTCCCAGTGTTCGTAGAGAAACATAATAAATGTTCCACCCCCAACTCCAGTCCCATTACTAGCTCTGTTTAACCGGCATTGTAATGCAGACAAGATTCTGTTTTAATGTCCCTTCAAATAGAAGTACTTTAACTCTCCTTTGTCAGTTCCTAGAACGAATCTATATAAACGTGTGTTATACTGTTCATTCTTTCATTTTAAAAATGAACTCTATCATATACTTTATGACAGGAAGATAATCTTTCTCCACAATTGTGCTTTGAAAGGTCGAACCCAGTATATTATAATTGTGATTTAACATAAATGACTGCATATGATCGTTTGGAAGAATGGGAGGTAATCGAGGTCTATTTTAAAGCAATATCCCAGCAGTTGCCTGAAGGGACAGTGAAAACCAAGGCCGATATCTGAGCTCTGGGCCTACAGAATGCGAGAAACGTGCTGTGGAATCTACCTCTGCATGCAGCTGTACAGACAGCGTCGTGGTGAACTGAAGTTGATAATAAAGTGTTGCGCGTTTTGATAGTTACTACCCTCTGAGCACACTTTCATATAATCTGGTGTGATTATCTTGTGACGAGGACGTCGACATTACTTAATGAACAATCTTCTCTAGGCGGCAGGCAGGCAGGTACCAGCATGGCGCGCCGTGCGATGAAGGCAACACACCGTGATCGTTAGTTATGTGAGTTGCCTGCCACAAGGAGAACGGTTTTCTCAGCGAGTTATGGCCTCATGTCCTCCCAATGTAATTTCCGTCGTCCCAACCCCTCGACCTGACACACCGTTTTGTTATGGAAGGCGATAAGTGCTCGATGTCTCCATTGCTCCATTCCTCTGACTAAGTTGAACTTGCTACAGCTTTAAGTAATTGATTTATGGCACTTCTAATCTAGACAACAAGCTAGCAAGCACAGAAGTAGTGTCACCACATTCAACTCTATTTTAAGCAAAGGCAGGTTTGTTTTATAATTAACCCGTTCGGTCAATTTGTGTTCATTCTTCCCTTTAATAATTTTTAAAATGATTTAAGGAGTGTCATTAAATTTCTTACATGCATTTAACAATAATCCACATCAACTAAAGTAGTGTATCTAATTCTATTACTACAAAAAATTGTATAATCTTCAGGTCCTCAAATTTGCGTGACAGCCATGTTAGTATTATTTGAAGCAGAAAATTAAAACGCGCATAGAAATAGTGGCCTCTGGTGGCATATGAAACAATAACATGAATTTCGGACAAATTATGTTTTCAATGTATTGTATAATGACGATAAGTAATCAATAATTGGACCTAGACATGTAACATATTCTGTGAGAGATAGATCATGAATACGAAAGCAAATTATAAGATAGTACTCTAAATAGGCCCTTGCCGCTTCCACATCATTAAAAATTGATTATTCACAATCATCGTACCATTCAACGCCATATAACCTGTGAAGTTGGAGAAGCGTTGTTACATAACACAAGAATAAATAGAAAGTTGTTTGCGACATACGAACAGTTGCTTTGTTTGTGTTGCAGGGAACTTCTTCCGAATGGCAGCCTCCACTTCGCGCCTTTCCCGCCAGAGGACTACAACCCCGAACTGCACGCGGCCACGTACCGCTGTAGGGCTACCAATCCAGCCGGCAGCATTGTCAGCAGGGACTGCAAGCTGAGAGCAGGTTAGATACCTTGGTGCATTGCGTGCCTGTGTTCGTTTACAGTGTAAACTTTACACATTCCTTGAATTCATGCTTCGGGCCGTTCTGCGCGTGCATTTCAGTGTTTCCGCAGTTTTCCCTATGAACTGCCCAATTCTTGTTTTCAGTCCGTAGCTTTCTTAACGTGCATGACAGTTCATACAGGCAGCAAAACATACTACAGGATACTTTCTTTACATTTGTTAGTTCCTCTGTCTTATTGTACCTGTCGTTCTCTCCATTTTCTGCCTTCATTCCGCTGTTTTATTTCTTTGCTTCGATCTTTATCAGTTATCAGATCTGTTATTCCTTCCTTCCTTTGTGTCGTGAATTTCTCGTTTCTCTCCTTACTTCCTTTATTGCTCTATTTCTTCCCCTACTTGCCCTTTCTTTTTATTTTATAATTTATCCCCCTATTCCTGTACTTAATTTGTTTTCCTTCCTTCCCTTCGTTATTTCTTTCTTTCATTTTTTGTTTAAGTTCCTTCCTTCTGTTTTAATCCCTAGTCTTCCTCCTTGATATAGTTCACTTTACCCCTCATACATTTTTCTTTTCTTTTCTTCCTGATCATAGGCAATTTATTGCATATTTCTACTCCGAATGTTATACAAATTATGCTAATTGTCTATTCAAAGCAAGATTATAAATATCATGTTTTAATCCACTCATTAATTGTAAGAGTAAAACTCGAAGCTTTTCATGTTTTAAAATAAAATCGTGGTAAAATTTAGTCACTTTTCTGAATATAAATTCAAACAACAACAAAAAAGAGGCAAAAAGTACACTTGTACTCTTAAGTTCTTTCATCGTTCTCCCGAGGCAAGTTGGTTTCCTTGTTTCAATCGATTCTAGATATTCAAAATTCGAAGTTAAATGAATCAGTCAAGTGCCGCTTCCCAGACCATGTGCAACCCCCACATACATTGTAAGACTTGAGGTTCTCACAGCGGTGAGTATGAAGATATCCGTCTTCTGGGTTGTTGCGCTGTGTAGTCTGGTCGATGTTAACCAACGTTTCAGAGGTCATACTGCCTCCATCATCAGGGCGATGAGTATGAAGATTTCTGTCTTCTGGGTTGTTTCGCTGTGTAGTCTGGTCGATGTTAACCAACGTTTCAGAGGTCATACTGCCTCCGTCATCAGGGCGATCGCGGATATCTTCCCACATACATTTGCAAACTCTTGTCAGTAATACGTTGCTTGGTTGCCATCCGTGTTCCTTTGCTCTGCCACGACTTTTCACTCGGGGCGGAAACGGATGTAGTTTCCGAAATGTTTCTTCTTCCCACAGAATGCCGGACTGTGAAGAAAGTCTGGGAATCCGGTATTAGTAATTATAAGATTGTTTGTTTTAAATGCGTTACTTCGGAATAATTTCCGTAGTGCAATTAGATTTGAGTGTGGTTATTCCTTTTCCATGTTAGCTAGAAAATGTCACGAGACTACTCTGAGCCTATCTTTCGCTCTGTGCCACTTAAATGTAATGGTATATATTACAGTCCTTATTAGCATGCATCAGCCGTCATACATTCCACTTCTTTTTTCATTATTCCCATTCGCGAAATTATAGGAGCGTTATTTGATTAAGTCCTGTTTAATTTGAAATGTGACGGGCATTTTAAAGGATTAAGCTACAGTGCGTACCGTACTTGTTTTTTTTTTTCAGATGTAAATTAAGGAAACACAAGAGGGTGAATTTTTTTCTGCTGTCTAGAGTGGTATTTCGCCACTGACAGCACTCTAGCTAGTTTAGGAGAAACAGTAAGTGCTGTTACGCTGAGCTGGTGGTTGTCCGACAGATGAACTTGACAGATTTGTGCTATTCTAAAACAAGACAAAACAGTGTACTACCTCTTCAGTTTCATTACAACAGCACGATAGTAGTATGAATTCTGCCGCGAATTTTGCGTGTGTGTATATATAAAATTTCATTCCGAGTCAAAAATCATTGGTCTTCCCTTAATTTGTGTTCTTGAAAAAATTATTAGGATGATAAAATTATGGAGGAAAAAATAGAAGGAAGAATCGCTGGCATTTATATCTTTTTAGAGAACAACCAGATTTCATTAAAATAACCAGTTACTTTGCCACATGTATAATTATCAATACTCAATAAATTTCTCGAGCCATGATGTTTATGTGATCAATCCGTACATTAAATGCTGAGTTCAGGTTGCCTGCAAAATAGTGTTTCGACCGCCCGCTCTACTTGCGTGTCGGAGAAGTTGCCGCCCTAATACGGCGATATCAGTTTGTGATGCTGGAAAGAGCAACACGATTCTCTCCGAATGCATATCGTTTTAATTCTTGGTTTATTCAATGTCTATTCTTCAACTAAATTAGTGCCATAGTGCCAAATGTAAAATGGCATAATTAATATATTAATAAAATGAAGACCTGGAAGTAACAGATACATTATTAAAACTGAGAAAACCGGAAATAAATTGAAACGCAGCTGTACTAATTCCGCTTGCTGGGATTCTCAAACACTAAAGTGTAAATACACAAAAAAAACACGTGTCTTATCCTTCGTCTACATACACACACACACATTATATATATATATATATATATATAAGGGCGATAACGAAAAGTGCATTTCTTCTTGTTTCATGCTTTCCAATCTTGCAAGTAACCCCAGCCCAGTTATAATATCTTCTTCGAGAAAATTTTTGGAAGTAAAAGGGTTGAACCGAACTTTCGCTTGAAGTTTTCATGGTACAACATTCCTATCTTTACTTTCTGTTTTCACAGTGAACTTACTTTACAGCAACAAAGCGTTTCTTCCTCTGAGGCGCAGCGATTGTAGAAAATGCTGTGTTATAAATGGACCGACAATCCATCCTATTAATCATTTCTGTTCTTGATGATCACTAGTATAATTCATCAACATCAACGCAGAGTTCTGAACATTTCCCATTGGTCAATATTAATCCAGTGACAGGGATGATTCAGAATTATACATGATTTATGGTTACTTACATTCCTTTCAATTTGTATACCGCACATTTAACACAGCCCGTAACAATCCCGATATTTTCATCAAAATCCTTCCAGTAGCTGTGAACATTATCATGCGGACTGGCATGTGAAAAGGACATACAATATTTCACCAAGAACTGAATACACTTCAGTGCAAGGTTCCAGTCTCTTAATCTTAAAAAGCTTGAGCCATTGTGACCATTGCTGTTATAGCACGATTTAAGATTTGATGCGACTTAATTTAAAAGATTATTTCGCACATAAATAATTTCTTTCTTTTCTGGAATTCCATAGGATTCTCTTTATACCCTTTGTTTGACTATTAGCAAAACAAGTGTCAGCCTTTTAATCTTGTGCTCAGTTAAGTGACATTCTCGGCCACATCGAGACCGTAGAAACGTTGTAGGGTGCATCACGTGCCTATATATTGAACTGTGAACATGGTACATCTGTATGATTAGTGAAGCGGTGAGGAGAGGTAACTTGCTTTTATACGTGTCCTCTCTCAAACGCAGTTTTAACTACGCTGAACATGATTGTGTTGATAAACAAAAGATTCCATTCTGTATATAGTGATAATGCAATCAATGCATGTTACCTCGACCAATAATATGTGACATATTCGCGTATTCTAATGTGAATAGATACTGCTACACGATGCAAGGTCTGTTGTATGTGTACACACAAATGGAGGTTCAGTTGTAACCCATTCGAGGGCGATTGCCATGGGCGTGAGACAGACACAGGATGCTTCGAAACATGAGTTGTGTTGCTCCACTATTCTTGTACTTTATGCAATTGCATCATCTATTGAGTTAATTGCAGCCTTGTGGATCTGAATAATATGAGGTCGTGCGCACCGTACCGAGTTTTAATGGATTGACACAGAAGACATTAAAAATCACACAAAGTCTCGGTTAATATGGGCCAGAGCCCCACAACTGGGATTTGAACCATTGTGCTAGTCCGCGTTGCCTTATACCACACTAGTAATCTTGCCGCGCGCTCACGTGTGTCAGACAGATTAGAAACGCGTACAAAATTGTACGGAAAAATGTGTAGGAAAGTGGCCACTTGAAAGAAGTCGCCATAGATCGCAGAATAATAACGCATTAAATTTTAACTTAAACAGCGAAGGACGGTGTGAATTGGATTTATCTGACTCAAAATAGGGAACGTGGCGGGATTTTTGAACACGGTGATGGATCTAACAGGCGGGGAATTTATTGAATAACAGAGTGATCATTAGATTGTCAAGGTGGACTCTGTGGAGTTGGTGTCAATTTACACACTATTTCTTTCTCTTTATTTTCTGTATTTGTACTTACCAAGGATAAGGGTCATGACAGAAGCTCACAGACCACCATTTGTTATTCTGAAGTATCATTACACTATGCTGCAATCAGTCACCAGTGACAATGGACAAGAAAAATTTATTAACCCTGCAAAATTCATATGTTCCAGTGTAATATTGCATTGTAATCATGACGGTCAGCTGTCTTCAGGAATTTAAAAGAAACTGTGTTGTATGATTCTTACATGTCATCTACTGCGCGACTTTTTAACTTAAATATTGCTTTATATCCTCCCTTATCTTGACGTGTGACTGGTAATGGATAGGAGTAAGCCATCAAACCTGTGATGAAATTGGCCGTCGGTGTTTTCATGTGGGACTGTCCTTGTTAAGTGACTCGTTCGGGCAGACCAAGAGTTGTTGTTAGCCCTGTCGCACCCGCTCGGTACTCCACCCCAGGGCCTGTGTGAAAACAGGTGGCGGCCTGCGAGAAACGACGTTCTGTTGCTTTGCTGATTCAAAACAGATGACTGTGTTTGTCGTTCCTTCATTAGTGACGAACTGGAAATCTCTGCTTCCCTTATTAACTAATTAACAGTCTAGTAGGTTATGCGAACAAAATAAACAGCATTTCTCGTCTACCCCACTTCAGCCCCGAAATTCTATTTGCTCCCTCTTTGAGTTGTTATTATTATTGTTGTTGTT